CCCCCGCCGGCATCTCCAAATCTTCCCCCGAGTCCCCAAATCACCCTCGAGATCCCCAAAACCTTCCCAACTTTCTCAGCACCCCCAAAACTGCCCCTTGCCTCCCCCCCGCCCCAGATGGGCTCTAATGAGGTTTTGGGGACCCCCCATGCCCCCCCAGATGGGCTATGACGGGCTGTTCCTGGGCCGAGTGGACCACCAGGACAAGTGGCAGCGGCTGCAGCGCCGGGAGCTGGAGATGCTCTGGAGGGGGAGCGCCAGCCTGGAGCCCCCCCGGGCCGACATCTTCACCGGTGACCCCCCCCCCCAGGACCCCCAAAATTCCCTCTGTGACCCCCACCCAAACTGCCTCTGTCCCCCCCCATCCCTGCCGTCCCCGGAGGTGACAGCCCTGTCCCCTGTCCCCAGGGATCCTGCCCAACATGTACAACCCCCCCCCGGGGCTGTGCTGGGACCAGCTCTGCTCCGACCCCCCCGTGGTGGACGGGGACGGCCCCGAGCGCAACGTGGACGCCGTGGTCAGCTCCTTCCTGCAGACAGCGGCCTCGCAGGTCCTGCCAGGGGAAACGGGGGCTGGGACCCCCTGGGAGGGGGAATGGGGGTCCCATGGGATGCGGTTCCCAAAGGTCCTGGCAGGGGAAACGGGGGCTGGGACCCCCTGGGAGGGGGAATGGGGGTCCCATGGGATGCGGTTCCCAAAGGTCCTGCCAGGGGAAACGGGGGCTGGGACCCCTGGGTGGGGGGGGGTCCCTGTCCCACCTGGGATGGTGTCCCCAGGTGTCCCCGTGCCCCGGGCAGGGGTCCCGAGCCGTGTCCCCCCTCCCCAGGCCCAGCAGTACCGCACCAACCACATCATCATGACCATGGGCTCCGACTTCCACTACGAGAACGCTCACCTGTGGTTCAAGAACCTGGACAAGCTCATTGCCCACGCCAACGCCCGGGTGAGGGGCTGTCCCCAAACCCCCCCGCAGTGTCCCCAGACCCCCACAGAACCCCCCTGACCCCCCCTCTGTCCCCAGCAAGCCAACGGCAGCCGCGTCCACGCCCTGTACTCCACCCCGTCCTGTTACCTGCGGGAGCTGAACCGGGCCAACCTCACCTGGTGAGGAGGGGACAGGGGAGGGCCCGAGGGGCAGGTGGGACGGACGGACGGACGGATGGACAGCTGGGGTGTCCCCCAGGCCCCTGAAGACGGACGATTTCTTCCCCTACTCGGACGGGCCCCACCAGTTCTGGACTGGCTACTTCAGCAGCCGCCCGGCCCTCAAGGGCTACGAGCGGCTCAGCAGCGGCTTCCTGCAGGTGGGGGGGCACCTGGGGACCCCCTCAGGGTGTGGGGACCCCCTCTGGGGTACCAGGGACCCCCTCAGACGCTGATCCCCCCCTCCCCAGATCTGCAGCCAGCTGGAAGCCCTGGCCGGGCCCGCGGCTCGGGCCGGTCCCTACTGCCCTGGGGACAGCTCCGTGCTCCGTGAGTACCTGAGGGACACCTGGAGGGGGCACTGGGGACCCCCCACACCCTCCTGACGCCCCCTTTTCCCCTCCCCAAGGTGAGGCCGTGGCCGTGGCCCAGCACCACGACGCCGTGGCCGGCACCGAGAGGCAGCACGTGGCCAACGACTACGCCCGGCAGCTGGCCAAGGGCTGGGACAGCTGCCAGGTGAGCCCCACCACAGCGGCCCAGGGCTCCAGGTGAGGGTTTGGGGTGACCCAGTGACCCCCCCCTTCACACTGTGGCTACCCCTGGGTAGGTGCTGGTGGCCAACGCCCTGTCCCTGCTGGGGGGCACCAAGGAGCCCTTGGTGTTCTGCAACGGCCTCAACGTCAGCGTGTGCCCCCTCAGCGAGGCCACCCCTCAGGTGAGCACCTGGGGGGCTCTGGGGGGGGTCTCCGGGGGTCCCCAGGGTCTGACCCCCCCGTGTGACCCCCCCAGTTCTCTGTGATCCTGTACAACCCCCTGGCCCGGGCCGTGGCCTGGCCCGTGCGCCTCCCGGTCAGGGGCAGCTCCTACGCCGTGACCGACCCTGAGGGCCAGCCCGTGCCCAGCCAGGTGAGCCCGGAGCCTCCCCTGGCCCACCTGGAGCCACCCCTCCCCACCCCCGTGACCTCTGTGACCCCCTCACCTGTCGTTCCCCCCCTCCCCAGGTGATCCCGGTGTCCTCTGTGACCCAGCGGCTGCGGGGTGGCACCGGGGGGGCCCCAGGGGAGCTCCTGTTCCAGGCCTGGGCTCCCCCCTTGGGGTTCAGCACCTTTGGGGTGAAGCAGCTGAGCCCGGGGGGACCCCAGGACCCCCCCAGGTGGCCCTCGGGGGACACGGAGCCACAGATCGAGAACGAGGTGAGGGCACATCGGGGATCTGGGGGGCTCTGGGATGAGTCCCAGCTCCCAGTTAAACCAGTTTGGGGGGTGACTGGGTGGCCTGGGCTGACCCCCCTCTGCCCCCCCCCCCCCATTCCGCAGCACCTGCGGGTCCTGTTCGACCCCGTCACGGGGCACCTGCGCGAGATCCAGAACCTGGCCAAGGGCATCTCCCTGCCCGTGTTCCAGAGCTTTTACTGGTGAGACTGGGATTTTGGGGAGGGGGTCCCAGCTCGGGGGAGGGACCCCCTGACCTGCCCTGGCCCCCCACAGGTACAACGCCAGCGCTGGGGACTCGGAGAGCTCCCAGGCCTCGGGCGCTTACATCTTCCGGCCCAACGCCTCGGTGCCCTCGCCCGTGGCCAAATGCGCGGCCACGCGCCTGCTCAAGGTGGGCGGGGGTCCCGGGGGGTCCCTGAGGTTTGGGTGGGGGTCTTTGGATGTCGCTGAGTGTCCCTGTGCCCCCCTCCCCAGACCGCAGTGGTGCAGGAGCTGCACCAGAACTTCTCGGCGTGGTGCTCGCAGGTGCTGCGGCTGCGCCCGGGGCAGCCTTACCTGGAGCTGGAGTGGACAGTGGGGCCCATCCCCGTGGGGTGAGTTCGGGGAGGGGTCTCGGGACCCCCAAGTCTCCTCTGGGGACCCGCCGGTGACACCCCCGTCCCCCCAGGGACGGGCTGGGCAAGGAGGTGATCAGCCGCTTCCAGACCCCGCTGCGCACGGCCGGGCTCTTCTACACCGACTCCAACGGGCGCCAGGTGCTGGAGCGCAGGTGAGGGGGCTCAGGTGACCTCCCCCGGGACCCCCCCAGGGGCTCTACGGGGCCTCCGTGACCTCTCTCGGGTCCCCCCAGGCGTGACTACCGGCCCACCTGGAACCTGAGCCAGAGCGAGCCCGTGGCAGGGAATTATTACCCCGTGAACACCCGGATCTTCATCAGGGTAAAAGGACTGGACACACCTGGGGTTGGGTTGGACACACCTGGGGCACGCCCCTCACACCTGTCCCCACACCTGGCAGGACCAGAAGGTGCAGCTGACGGTGCTGACTGACCGCTCCCAGGGTGGCAGCAGCATCCTGGACGGGTCCCTGGAGCTCATGGTGAGCTGGGGACACCTTGCGGGGGGGGGACGGGGACACACCTCACGGCAGGTGTGACATCACCTGTGTCCCCTCCAGGTGCACCGGCGGCTCCTGAACGATGACAAGCGGGGTCTGGGGGAGGCTCTGGACGAGCCCGGGGCGGACGGGCGGGGCCTGGTGGTGCGGGGCCGGCACCTGGTGCTGCTGGACACCGTGCAGGCCGCGGCTGAGCAGCACCGGCCACGGGCACAGGAGATGGCGACACCCCCGCAGGTGGTGCTGGCAGCTGGAGAGGGGCCTCACCTGCGCCAGGTGAGCGAGGAGGGGGTGTGGGATCGCCTGCCTGCCCCAGGTGTGCAGTGCAGGTCTCCCCCCTCACCTGCCCTCCCCTCGCAGTTCTCGGGGCTGCGTGGGTTGCTGCCCCCCAACCTGCACCTGCTGTCGCTGGAGCAGCGCGGGGTCGGGGCCGGGGTCGGGACCCTCCTGCTGCGCCTGGAGCACCTGTACGAGCAGGGAGAGAGCCACAACGGCTCCCAGCCCGCCAGCGTGGACCTGACGGTGGGAACTGGGGCTGGGGGCTGGAATAGGGGGGGGTTCCTGCCCCATTTCGGGGGTCCCGAGGCTGCTCCGGGGGGTCCAGGATGGCTCCCAGGGTGCGCTCAGCCCCTGGGGTGGGGTTGGGGAGGGGGGCGGCTCTCTGCAAGCTCCCCGTGGTCCGGGTTGGGCTCTGGGGGGTTCGGGGGGGTCTCTGACAGCCCCCCCCACCACCCCCAGACCCTTTTCTCAGCCTTCACCATCACCTCGGTGCGGGAGATGGCGCTGGGGGGGGACGTGCCCCTGCACAGCGTGTCCCGCCTGCTCTGGAACACAGCCACAGGTATGGGGGGACTCGGGGGGCTCAGGGGAGGGTCCTGGGGGGTCCCACCTTCCCCCTCACACCCCTCATTACCCCCAGGAACCCCCAAACCCCGCCCGGGGCCCCGGCTGGACCCGAGGCACGTGAGGCTGGAGCCGATGGAGATCCGAACCTTCCTGGCCTCGGTGCGGTACTGAGGGGGCTGGGGGGCCCCGAGCCATCCCCCCAACCCCCCCAAAAACCCCAATAAGTGCATTAAACCCCCCCCGAGTTTGGTAAGACGTGGTTTAATGGGGGGCATCCGGGGGGGGCTCGTGGGAGTAGCAGCACTGCTCACCTTGGGGACAGGTGCCCTGTGGAGAGGACAATGATTGGGGGGGGGGCTGGGACTGTCCCAGGACCCCCCCCTGTGTGTTCACAGACCCTCCCCCTTATTCCTGGACATCCCCCCCACCCAAATTCCCAGCTCCCTCCTCCTTATTCCCAACCCCTCTTTTATTCCCAGCTCCCCAATTTTATTTTCCCTTTCTCCCTTTGTTTCCTGACCACCCCTCTCTCTGTGTTCCTGGACACCCCTTCCACTCCCAAACTCCCCCTGCACGTTTTAGGAATCCCCTCCGTATTTTCGGGACCCTCCCCCGTATTTTGGGGCCCTCTCCCACCTCCTTGAAGCGTTTGCAGGGGAATTGTTTCAGCCCGGCCCCATCCGGGCGCTGCGTCCTCTTGTTCTGGAGCCTCTCCCGCTTCTCCTGCAGGGAGGGGGCGAGGCCCCCCCTGGAAAGCCCAGGAATGAGCCGGGGACCCCCCCGGGAAGAGGAGAGGGCGGGGGGAACCTCCCCAAAAAAAGGACGGAGTTCGGGGTTCACCCCTTCTCCTGGTTTTTTTTTTGGGGGGGGTTTATGCCACACCCCGAGCAAAAAAAAGGGGGAAATGCCCCCCCTTGAGAAGGGTGGGGGGTACCTGAACCCCCAAATCAGTCTCACCCCGGCTTGGCCCTGGCCTTGGGACCCCAAAAAGCCTCGGGGTTCTCGGGGAATCGCTTCAGGCCGCGCTTGCGGGAGCTGGGGTTGGCGTCCTCATGGAGGGCGAAGGAAGCCTGGAGCCTGGGAGGGGAGTACAGGGGGGACTCAGGGGGGTTTGGGGGGCTCTGGGGACCCCCACCCTACCCCACCCCCGGGGTCCTACGTGGGCTCCACCGAGAGGATCCGGGCGGCCGGGCTGGAGTCCGGGAGCCGCTCCAGCTTCACCGGGTGGAGCTTGGCCTGGGGAAAACGGGGAAAAGTGGGAAAAAAATGGGGAAAAGGCAGGTGGGAAAGGGGAGTTCAGGCAGCCTCGAGCTTGGGGAGGGGTCGCCGAGCCCCCTCCTCACCCACCCAGCAGCGCATGATGTCCCAGAGCGCGGCGGGCGGCGCGTCCGTCTTGACGGCGTTGCGGCAGGCGTGGGACAGGGAGACCCGGAACCCGGCGTGCAGCAGGGCTGACCTGGGGACAAAGCCGGGGTTTGGGAGGGGTCTCAGGAGGTCCCTGAAGGGGTTTGGGAGGGTCTCCGAGGGGGTTTAGGGGTCCCTGAGGAGTTTTGAGGTCCCCTACCTGAGCTGCAGCAGGGACGGGGTGTTGCTGCGGATGGTGCTGCTCAGCCCGTCCAGGGTGTAGTACAGGGGGACATCGCTCAGCTCCTGCCCCACACCAGCCCCACAGTCACTGCCAGCCCCACGTCTGGGGTGTCCCCCCAACGTTTGGGGTGTCCCCATCCCCGGGCTGTCCCCGCTGTCACCTCGGCGATGACGCTGAGCATCCCCCGCATCCGCGGCTCCGTCGAGAAGCGCCCGGGGCTTCGCTCCAGCGCCGCCAGGATCCCCTCCACAAACGTGGGGTCGTGCAGGGGCTCAGCCCACACCGGGCCCCCGACCTTGGGGGGGGAAAAATGGGGGTTCAGGGCCCGAATTTGGGGTTCTGAGGTGGAGGGAGCAGGGGGTGGCTGCACGCACCTGGTGGCGGTGCTGGCAGAACTCACAGGTGGGACCCACGGGCGGCCCCGTGGCTGTGCTGTACTTGAACCTGGAGGGGATAAACGGGGTCACAGCCCCCCCAAAGGGTCCTGGGGGTTCTCAGAGAACCCCAAAATCCCTCACCGGGGGGGGAAGGCGGGGGGGCCGTACCCGCTGCCGTGGCTCGTGGCCCTGCCCAGGCGCTGCAGGTGGTGGGAGCCGCAGCCCACGCAGTGGAACACCAGCGCCTGTTTGCTGTGGGGAAACCGGGTCAGGGCGGGTCTGGGGGGAAACAGAGACCCCCAAAACCCCCTCGGGAACCCCCCCTCACCTGGCCGAGGCCTTAACCTTGGCCTGGCCCGTGAAGACCCTGACGAAAACACGCACGTAGAAGTCGGCGCTGACCGAGAGCAGCGGCACCACGAAGCGCTGGTAGCAGTTGGCGCGGAGGTCGAGGCTGTGCAGGATGATCCTCAGGGCCTGCCGAGGGGACAGAGGGGACACGGGGACGTGGGACAGGCCCTGGAGCCCCCTCCCCCGGGTCAGGGCAGCCCCCCCAGCACTGACCATCTCGTGGCAGAACTTGCCCTTGAGGGACACGGCGCCGTATTTGCTGTAGCACGTCTCGGCGCTGTTGCCGGCCATCACCGCCATGTCCGTGCAGGTCACGCACAGCAGCCCTGGCAAAATCGGGGTTCGGGGGGGGTTCGGGGGGATCCAGGGGGTTTGGGGGGGTCCCTCAGAGCCCCCCGCCCCCCCCCCCGAACTCACCCCCCTCGCTCACGGCCTGCACGGCCGCGTCCAGGAAGGGCGCGGGGCTCCCGTAGGGGTCCAGGTCGATGACGTCGAACGGCTCCCGCTCGGCTTTGCTCTGGTACATCAACATCCTGGGGGGAACAGGGGGGTCCCCACAGACCGCGGGGGTCCCTCAGCATCCCCCAAACCCCCCCAGGACAGCCCCCAGCCTTTGTGACCCCCTCACTGCCTGCGCAGCCCTGGCGTGGTCCCAGCTTAGGGGGCCAGGAGGGTCCTTGATGCCACTTGGGGACATCGGGACCAGTTCCTGGGGTCACCCCTCGTTCCCCGGGTGATTTTGGGGTTACCTGGCGTCGGCCAGGCGGGGCGTGACGAGCTCCCCGACGCCGTTGAGGGCCACGTTCCGGGCCATGAGCGCGGCCGCCCGCGGGGAGCAGTCGCTGGCCACGATGGCCCCGAGCCCCGGCACCTCCCGGGCGAAACGCACCGAGCGCAGCCCCGAGGCTGCCAGAGCCTCCAGCACCCGCAGACCCCCCTGGGGGCACAATGAGGGGGTCAGGGGGGGATTCAGGGGGTTTTAGAGACCCCCCCAGACCCCCCCAAACTCCCCCCACACCTCACAGGCCTCTCCTGGCCGAGCTGTCCTCGGGGTCTCCCCGGCCTCGGCGCTCCCCTCCTGCTCCTCCTCGCCGGGAAGGACGACTGGAAAAGAGGAAGGGGCTGAGGGAGAGGCGTGGGTACCCCAAAAATGGGGTCTGAGGAGATGGAGGAGGGAGTATGGACCTCCTCGGGGTTGGGGGGAGCCCCCAAAAGCTGCCGTACCCCGAATTCCTTTGGGGCGCAGCTGGAGCCGTGCGAATTCGGTCAGGACGGCGCAGCTGGGGGGGAGGGCAGGGGGGTGTCAGGGATCCCCCGAGGGGGCGGTGACACCCCCAAACCCCCCCAGGTCCTCCAGGGCAGCCCAGAACCACCCCCAGGATCATCCCAGAGCCCTTAAAATCCTCCTGGGATAACACGAGGGTCATCCCAGGACTCTCCACAGCCCCCCGGATTCCTCTCAGCATTTATCAGTATATCCCCAAATTCTCCTGTGAAAACTCCGAGACCCCCAGAGTGCCCAAGGACCCCCCCAGATCCCCCCCCGAACCCTCCTGGCTCACGTGAGGTCGCGGTTGAAGCCCTGCACGGGGTTATAAAACACCTCGTTGGCGTTGGGGAACACGATGGTGGCGCGGCCCTCGGTGATCAGCGTCTCCTCGGGACCGGGGGTGCCCCCCTCGCTTTGGGGGGGTCCCCCCGAGCCCGGCGGGGCCGCGGAGCCGTTGGGGGAAGCGCCGTCCATGGTGGGGGGGACCGGAGGGGCTCTGCAGAGGGTTCTGAGAGCGACAGCTGTGGCGGGGAGGGGTTACGGGAGGGGTGCGGCCGGCCCGGAGCGGTTTTTGGGGGAAAAACCGGGCAGTTTGGGCTCGCTCCCAGAGGGAGGGAAAAGGGAGAAACCCCCCCAGGAAAAAGGAAGGAAGGGGCGGGGAACGGGAGGAGACGAGACCCCGCAGGCGGCGGGGAGGGGGTGAAAGCGGAACCCCCGTGAGAACGGGGAGACCCCCCCAAAAACGGGACCGCGAGGGACACCGCGCCCCCTCCCCTCCCCAGCACGTGGCGCGGGCCAAGACCGGGGGGGCTACACCGCGCCCCCCGCGAGTTCCGCCCCGGTGTCCCCCCGTGTCCTCCGGCCCCTCCTTGTCCCCCCATGTCCCCCTCTCGTCCACCCCCGCTCACCCGCGCGCGCCGCCCCGCGCACCGCCCCGCGCATCCCCCGCGCCGCCCCTCACATGGGCGCCGCCATGTTGCGCAGGTCACGTGACTCCGGCGACCGCGCAGGGTCGAAAAACCTCCGCCCGCCCCGCGAAAGGGGCGATCGTGCGGCGGAGCCTCCCGGCAGCGGCGCTGAGGAGCCGATCCCGCCGGAGCCAGCCCGCGGGGCGCGGAGGGTCAGGACCCCGCGCGTTTCCTGCGCGTTCCCCGCGTGTTTCTGCGTCCACCCCCTGCCCACCTCCGTGCGGGCACCGGCGGGTGGATGATTCGGCGCTCGGCTGGTCGCGCAGGCGCGCTCGGCGCTCGGCGCTCGGCTGGTCGCCCCTGCCGCACAATGAATGGCCGCTGAGCGCGGCGGCACCGGGAGCGGCTCCGGGAGCGGCCGCGGCCCCAGCGCAGCCCCCCCGGCCCCC